CCATTTGGAATCTGTCAAAGATTCAAGAGGTGGTTGTGTTTTGACCCGGTAGTCCGAGCCGCCCCATCATCCTTGGCCTGACAGTGCTAATAGAGCCACCTACACTCATGTGCACATGTTTTATTTAAAATGGATCGAGTGAGGAAGAAGGTTACCAGTGCGTCATTATGAGGTCGAGACGAGGTCTCGGTACCCTCTTTGCTGAATGTAAGGGTGTCCTTGGGGGTATATCCCCAGGTCCGCCTTTCTCCGGTGACGAGAAATTTGCTCTCCCTTTTACAAGTTCTTGGAAAGGGTCGTCGCTCCTCCATTATCATGGTAATGCGCTGCGGCCCATTTGCTTCATTCCTCCTGGCCGCCTTCCATACTGGGGACTGAACTTGAATTCGGTCGCTTGTCAGTTCTCGGCGGTGATTTTTGTCGAGCGGCTTGGCGTTTTTCCTTCAGAGCTGGTGGCTATCTTCAGCCCTGCGGCCGCACTTGCTATGTAGTTCCTGCGCCAGGCTGTGATTCCTTTGAGTGGAATTTGACCGAATTGGTCCGAGCCATTTGATGTCCCTGGTTTCGCCTACGGCGAACACAATGTTTGGTATAGCGATGTGGAAATTGTACTCTGATGGGTGAGGTGCCCTTGCCGGCCATGCATCCTTGTCGAATCTAGCTTTGTTAATGATTCCTTGAGGATATTTTCCTCGAGCTATTCTCCAATCGTTGCGAGGTAGATTGCATCTCGGGGCGTTCCTCTTATTTGCAGCGCACGGGCGGTACCTCCCTTTGTTTGGCATTGGTTTCTTTGCCAGGAGCCTGTTTGGGTAAGCTGAGCCCGAGGAGTCTCCTGGATGGTCATCCATGACCCTGATTTGCGACTGATGCTAGGTACGGGCATCCGACCAGGTCTCGGCTGGGTACCTGATCAAGTTTTGTTTGAACTGCCCAGAAATCATCGGGCTTGGTTTGTTTAGGCTTTGAGTGAAGGCCTGTATTGCCCAGTCATCTGAGACCGGGGGTAATCTCATTCGTTCCATTAGGGAATGAGGTGCGAATTCCCCTGGCGTTTCATTCTCCCTTTGTTCAGCCCTGGATGTGTCGGGCTCTCTCATCGTTGCTTCGATGGCATCAGTGTGTGTCTTTATGGAGAAACCTGCCGGTATGGTAAGCGGGTTTATGGGGTCAGGAGCTAGGTTATAACGCCACATCATGGTTCCTTTCGAGAGTGTTTCCCCAAACCTCTTCAATAAGACGGGCTCGATCTCATCATCTTTTGGATCATTGCCTTTTCCCGCGCACGTATAGGCGGTGATGTGTTCGTTGAGATCTGAGGTCCCATTGTACTTAGGGAGTTCTAGCATTCTGGACTTTTTAAAAATAGGTTCCGGGGCCGCTTCCTCGGGGAACAGCCGTTGCACGAACTTCCATGAACCTGATTCGATCCTTTTGGATAGATCCCCAAGCATCTTTGCTATACAAGGTCAGCTACCGATCCGTTATTGCTTGATCTCTCGGGTACTTGCTTGGCGGGGGGATCTATTTCCGGCGCTGTTGTTCTAGGAGTCTTCGGATGGCTTTGTAGCCGAGCGATGGCCAACTGTTGTGCCTGCAACATTTCAAAAATAATATGAAGACTAACTTCTTGTTTTTCTCGGGCGGGGGTCTTTTGGGCTTCCTATTGGTCTCCATGTTGTATGCTTCCGTTGGTGCGTGAGGTTTTGTCGACCCGCTGTACATCTTGCAAAACCGCATCCGCTGGAATCGGTCTAGGTGCGGTATTGATGACGTCCAAATCCACTACTAAAAAGTAAATGGACACGGTCGCATGCAATATAATTTACCAACTATGAGTCGGGGTCGAATCCCACAGAAAACAATATGTTGGCGATTAGGAATGTAAGAGAATTATCACTTATCGCACAATGCCAAACACTTAGATGTTGGTTTAGAAAATGTTTTATCTAGATGCGGAAATGTAAACTAACCTAGAAAGCGAGTAAAATGATCAATGGCTGCAAGTATGGTTGCATCGGGAATTACACTCAAGTAACGATCCAATGTATTTCATGATTTTACAAATATGAGCAAGTTTATGTTAATTAGGCAGGGATAATAATTCTTAATTAGGTTCTTTGGAAGACTAACAAGACTTCCTAATTGAATTATCCCTAAAATAATCAAGAGATTACCACACCCGGAATGACTACAAGTAGTTCAATCCTATCCCTAGGTAGAATCTATAAAATGAGGGTTAACGCCTCAAGTTCTTTTTAATAAATCTTTTCCAACCCCAAATTATCTTTTCCAAAATTAATTCAGGGTTAATGGGCGAGTCCTAGGGTTAGCTAATCCCTTTGGAAACATTAAAGAACAAGAATAATTAAAGAAACAATAATTCACTTCATAAAAAGATAAAAATCATTCAATACATAAGCACAACAAGGTATTTAATCCACACTTTCAACAAGAATATTTCAATAAACAAGATTTAAGTGTTGGATAAAATACTACATACTTAGATATACAATACAAAACAAGGAAATGAAGAAATAAACATAAATGGGTAAGAAATCCTTAACCACAAGCTTCAAATCTTCAAGACCAAAGTATGTGTGCAAACCCTAGCTTCCAAAACTTGTTCTCTCTAGTTCTAAGAACTAAAAATAAGCCAAAAGATCTCCCAAAGAATTAGCTAGGTCGAGTATTTGTGGGTTTGGAAATGAGAACATGTGAAATTCCTAATTTGCCCAGGTCTGATGCCCGTTGACCGCACCTATGGAAGAATACTCGCTAGTGCGGTTCCGCAGATGTGGAGAGCCTATCGCAGAAGCGAAATGTCAAATAATCTTTTCCATCGCAGATGCGGTCTTCCTAGCACAGATGCGCAACCGCAAAAGCGGTAATCCAACCGTAGATGCGGTATCTTACAAGGTCACCCATTTTCGCAGATGTGGGACTTCTCACACAGAAACGGAGTTGCTTCTGCGACCAACCTTACGCAGATGTGGAATCACAGGGGAGTTTTACATGGTTTTCACCCTTTTTTGCTCAATTCTACTCCAATTAAATTCAAATCACTTTATGGCATCATTTACCTAAAAATCTAATAATACACACCATAAAAGACCTCATATTATAGTTAAAGGACATAAAAGCTAAAGAAAAGAGACTAGAATGAGTGGTAAAATCACCACTTATCAACACCCCCAACTTAAAGCTTTTGCTTGTCCTCAAGCATATCAAAACCAACACTTCAATGAGGCTTTACCATTTAAAACACAAGTAGTATTGCTATTTTTTTTTACAAATCACATTCTCCAATTAAGCACCATACTTATGGATTTGGTTGGTACTAACAATTAGGCTCAAGTATGTGCATCTTACCCGAATAACTCCCTCATTTAAAAACAACTTCAAGAATGTGCAAGGGAGTTTCAAAATAATCAAGTGACATGAGTAAGCCTCAAAAAGTGACTCAAAAGCACTAGACCACTACATATGCTCAACTTACTCAATTTCACCAATGCTTCCTAATTCATGTGCCCTCACAAGAAAGAAAGTCCCAAAATCACTATATTTACAATACAACATAAGGGACCAATTTACAAAGATACTCACTCTCACAAAGATTTCAAGTGTTACAACATCTCATACCATAAGCTTGCCCTTATTTTAATTCATCGCATATTCAAGAACATTCGGTTGGAGATCCCATAAGGACTTCATAAGCTTGTAATGTAGGTTTAGGGAAGGGTCGGATAAGCATTTGGATACAAGTGACTTTACCCTCCTTGAACACTACTCACATTTGTCTTTCTTTTTGCACTTTGTTTCTTTTCAAACCACATAGCCTCATTGGCATCTAGTACCAACATAGAACCACCTTAAATACCTCTCTAATTTTCTTCAAGGCTCCATATTTATATACATACATATATTTCTCTTTTTTTATATACATATTTTTCTTTTGGAGCTTGAATAATTTAATGTGAACACTTTGAGGTATATGCTCCTACACTCAATGTACAACCTTACCAATTTTCACTTTGACACCACACCCCCAACTTAGGCTTTTAGCCTCATTCTCAATGTTCAAGGAGGGACGGGTTCAAAATAGGGAATTATTTTACAAAAGGAGAAAGGTTTGTAATGAGGTGGCCAAAGAAAAGGTTAAAGGCTCAAATAGGGTACAAGTGATATTATTTATGCAATGGTAGGCTTGAAAGGCTAAAGTGGTTTTGCAAATAACACAAAGAATGCCTAAGATCATCCTTCCAACCGAACATACTATCATTAGCGTTGAAAGACCAACCGGGCAAATTCTAGATGATAGAAGTAAACACAAGATTTATTTGTACAAACACTAACACACATGGCACATGAATTAATCAAGATGGATCAATTTAATTTTCTAATAAGAGCATCTAGAGCAATATTATTCAAACTAGTGGGCAAAGAGTCACTAAAAGAGCCAAAAAAATTTCACAAAAATTATTCATCACCATGCAACTTACTTATTTTAGTTCAAACTAAAATTCGGAGGGGTATTCTTAATTCACATTTCACATACAAGAGACTAATTTTATTAGTACCAAATAACTCAAAAGTCTCCTCCTAGCAAAACAAGACTAATTCCCTTAAGAAAGTTGTCACACCATCTATCATAGGGAAAAATCACCCGGTTCACTTCAAAAATGTTCCTTGGGAAAGAACTGTAGCATGAAGAAAACCCAAGGAAATNTCAAAACAAGACTAATTCCCTTAATAACGTTGTCACGCCATCTATCATAGGAAAAAGTCACCCGGTTCACTTCAAAAAAATATTCCTTGGGAAAGAACCGTAGCATGAAGAAAACCCAAGAAAATAATAAAAAAACTCAAAGAACAAAACTACTAAAAAGGATACTAAAATAAAAGGGCCTAATACAAATAACAACAAGCTACTAAAGAAAATAAATAACGAAAGAAAGCTAAAAATAGACTAATCACAACAAGCTCAGCAAGAGCACCTGCTACACAAAATGGCCCGACAAGGGCACACAATATCCATAACAACACAATAAGCCCGCCAAGGGTACACAATATCCATATCAACAAAATAAGCCCGGCAAGGGCACACAATATCATAACATGAATACAGTATACTCTTACAGCCACCCCAACTAAAAACATTGTAGTGTCCTCACTGCACAATATCAAATATAAAGCATAAATAGTTTGAGGGTCTCCCTGAGGTCTGCATCAGACTAACAGACTGTGGGAGGACGGCTTATCAATGTTGTGCTGAACTCGTAGCCTCATCATCATCATCATCACCAACAGCTTCTGACATGAAGGAATACTCCTCGCTATCATTTTTGTCCCCCACTGGTATTTTCTTTCTTGGGTTTCCCCATTTGAAGATGAACTTTATTCCTCTCCACATTTTTATCATAAACTTGCTCTTCTTATTGTTCCTCTCCTTCTCCTTCTTGAAGTCTGATTGGAGATTTGCATGCGCCTTGGCCAAGTTGCCGTAGGCTGTCTCAAGTCTAGTCACTGATGCTGCTATCTTCTCATGAGACTCTTTCTGACTCTTCTGCGCATCTACGTAACTCTTTATTTCTTCCCTGTAGAAGTACGAGGGCCCAGGCTGGGAGTGTCACACCTCCATTTTACTTATACCCCCGAAGGGGTATAAAGGGAGTTTTTTCCAACTTAAAGTGACAATCGAAACGAGATTTATTTAATTAATGATTCAGAGTCGCCACTTGGGATAATTTATGGTATCCCAAGTCACTTGTTCAAATCCCGAGTCGAGGAAAAGGTTGACTCTATATTACAGTCCGCGAATCAGAAATCCAGGTAAGGAATTCTGTTAACCCTGGAGAAGGTGTTAGGCATTCCCGAATTCCGTGGTTCTAGCACGGTCGCTCAATTGTTATTATTGGCCTAATTATCTGATTTTAAACATGTTTAATCCTATGTGCAATTTTAACTTTTTAACCACTTCTATTCATTTTTAAAGGAAGATTGCAACGTCATTTAAAATATGTCTCCAACCACGTCACATAAATGCACCCGCAGTCTGCAACACATTTTATCTAACGTTGAGATTTGGATTTGGATCACATAAATGCGCACCCGAGTTTAGGAAATTAATTTAAATCACGCGCCTAAAGCACCTATGCACTTCAAGTTTGCAAGGGCCATGAAAACTTCGCTAATGTCACACCTCGATTTCTAAAGGATTAAAAATAATTAAGTGAGGGCCATGAGTTTGAGATTTTATTTGTCATGGCACATCTCAATTTATCCTTAAAGGATCGTAATTATGTCATGTGAACATGTACACAATCACGGTGAATTGATTAGCTAAGAGCAAGACTAAAGCATTCTAACATTTTCAAACGCGTTACAACCAGTTAGAATCATAACCCCCTTAATGGAACATTTTCATCTTTAACAAGACAGTTAAACCTACACGCAGAAATACCAGCAGAAAAAAATCTGCTCAAACAATTCCGGAAGATAAGTCAAGAACTTAGCATTATCCAACTGCAACATAGTCGAATTGGAAGAACAATTACTAAGACCAACTTTCCTCTTACGCCCTTTTCGACTAACATTTGGATCATTTGTTCAAATTAGTTTCCAGTATCTTCTATTTCCAATTTCCAAACAAGGACAATGTAAAATTAAAATAAGAATGTAAACAAACTAGCATTTCAAAATGGTAATGTATAATAGCATTTTTCAAATAAGTAGACTCTCATTACGCTAAATAATATTGATTATAACTAAATGAGCGTCCTGTTCTGCGAGGGCACATAGGGAGTCAGAATATTAGAGGACATTTCACATGTTCATCCAAACAAGAATATTCACAAAAAAGAACAATTCCAAAAAAACTACAGAGCAATATTCGAAAGAGAATCAAAAAACTGTAAAAGCTACAAGAAGCAGATTTGAAATAGAAATGTGAAATCGACAAACCTAACGACGACACCCTCAAATTCTGCTGGAAAACTCAAATCTCGAACAACAACCGATGACCTCTGGATGGAACTCGAACCGGCACCGGAAACCTCCACTCAACACAACTTCAGACGTTTCTGCTTGCTCCCCTGTTTTCATTACTGTTTTTTCGAACTCCTTTTCTTCTTTCCTTTTGCAGCTAGTTGCTAGTATGGTCAGAGATAGGGGTTCGGAGAGATGTGGGTTCGTTATTGGAGCTTTGGGTGTGTTATGGTTGAAGGAGAAAGGTGGAGATGGCTGTTTGGTTCAGGCCGACGTGAGAGTGGTCGTTGGTGGATGTGGGGACGAAGAAGAAGACCAGTGAGGTGGGGTCGTCGCCGCTGCTGCTTTGAGTCTTTGGAGTTGGAGTATTTTGTAGGTTCTTTCGTGAAGATGAAGATTGACTTGGGAAGGGGATGAAGAAGACGAGAATATAGGGGGTCGTATGGGATCCTCTATTGCGGCGCTGCTTGTCAGCCTTTCCCCAGGTGTTCTTTTTTTGTGTATTTTTTAGCTCCAGGGTCTTATAGGTCTAGAGTCTAGGTTTACATTTTGTGTATTTTGCCAATTAGTCCCTAAGTCTTTTTTTTGGTAAATCCACTAGACTGAGCGCCTAGGACTGTTTTTTTATATATAAGTAAAACAATAAAACCAATACAATTAGTTTGTCCGGATGTTTAATGAAATGAAAGGCATAAAATTTGAGAATTACATATGACCTATTATCAAAGTTGAGTTGATAGCTCAACAATGATATCACAATATGAAAACTAATTATAGTAAATAGTTTATGATAACCCATGAATTTATGTATTGTTGGTACTGCCTCTGCGGTGTAATTGCCAATATACTTTCAATTAAATCTATCCGCTACTACTTCATATTGATCCATGTGTATGCACCAGTACATATTTCCTTTCAAAATCTTATCTTTCCTCGATATCCTTCTGTGCAGAATGATTAGTTGCATAGCAGTTACATTGAGCACTGTTTCTTCTTTGTCACGCCCATTCTTGTATGTTTTGCTCGATAAGAAATAAGCTCTATCCATCCCACTGTCCAGCATTTCAACTGCCCAGTACCTCATTATATTGATGCCAAAGTTTGAAGAGTGCCATGCCCTGCAGAATACTTCCCCTGTTACAATTTTGTGTATGTAAATTAGTATGTCCAAAACCAGATTTTCGCATAACTGCATTGTTGGTGGCGATCTCTAGAAATGAATGTTTTGATGCCAACACCAGATTTTCGCATGCATAGACATTATTGTCCAGCAGTCTGCTGCAATGCTGTTGCAAGCCACCATTTCTTCTTCAAGACAATGTGATCCCTTGAATTCATAAAGAGTTTGTAGACCTCCAAACACTTTCTTTTCTTCATTAATTGAACTGGCTAGCACTGTAATTCTGTTGCAAGGTTGTCTACTAATACATATCATGATTTCTCCTTCAAGGGAATGAGTATAAAATACTAATACCACCCTTTGAAATTTAAATTCTTGATATATCATTAATCCTGACTGTTTTCCTGCAAAAAAGGCAAAAAAATTAGTGTAAAAACTGATTGTTTTGATCTCCTCCATACGGCTTTGGTCAAAACCACCCATGCTCTCTTGTTTCTTCCGCTTTATTCCCATCTGCATCAAATTATACTGCCTGCTCACTGTTGCTGTTCCTTCCTGGAATATTTCCATCAGTCTCAGTTCTTTAACAATTGAGCATTCCATCATACTAACATCCTGCTTCATATCTGGATGTCAACCTATCCTTAGCACACTGCAATTCCACCTTGTAACCTCCTCACCTTCTAATTCCTTGCTACTTTTACTCTTAAATATGGACATTGTACTTTATCATTATTCACTATCCTTCTACCTTGTATGTCCAATTCCCAGAAACTATGTGCCACCATAGGTCCCATATCCAGTGCATAATTGGCTAAGTGATCAGCCAAACAATTCCCCTCTCTAAATGTGTGCACCACAGTGACATTAGCTTTTGCCATCAGTTGTCTTATCTCCTCCACCTGTGTATATATACTCCAAGGTATTTTTCATTCTCTATTTAGTACATTCTTCAACATCATGGAGTCAGTATGAAGTTCTATAAGTATGTAGTCATTATCAATACAGAACCTCATTGCTTCCAAGATTGCTTGTGCTTCAGCTTCAGAATTTGTCCCTTCCTGCACTTCTCTCCCATAGCCATATGTTAGGTCACCCTCCTCATTCCTTAATACATAGCCAATTTCACTTCTACCAGGATTTCCCCTAGACGCTCCATCTGTATTCACCTTGATCCAACCTGGGCTAGGACAGTCCCACATCACCTTAGTATACTTCAGTTTGGGCAGATAGGACTCCATTTTATTTAACAAATCTGGCCATCTGTGTGGGACTCTTTGTATTGATGGCTTTCTGAATTTGACTAATGACTTCATAGAGGTAGATATATGGTTAATAACTCTATTAATAGTCACAGGTTCCCCATGTTTATAACTGTTCCTTCGCTTCCATAATTCCCAAACAATCACAGCTGGTAATGCTTGTAGTGTAGGCTTCAATCTGGGAATCACTTCTACAGTCCAACACTTGGTTATAGCTTGATGAAGTGTGATTCCATCAACATTTATTCCTGCATGACCTAGAAAATATTTCCATACCTTAGTGGCTGCATATGAACTGTAGAAAAGATGTTGCATTGTCTCCTCATGTGGTTCAGAACGACACCAACATTTTGAAGCCATAAGGTACCCTATTTTTCTGAGAAAATCGTCCAAAGGTAGTTTATTTTTCCACAACTTCCACATAAAGAAGGAAATTTTGAAAGGTAGCCCCTTCACCCAAGTGAATCTGTATGCATTACTTGGCTGATTTCTTATCCTCACATAATCCCAAGATGATTTCACAGTAAATTCCCCTCTTGATTCCAACATCCACAGTGGTTTATCAAGAGCATCATGTACGACTGGAGGCTTTATATGCAGCAGAATGTGATTTGCCAATTGTTCTGGTAATATTTCCCTGATCTTGACCTCATCCCATTGATCATTGACTACAACATCATATATGTTCTGAATGGATTCGTCACATACAAAGTCAGGTGTAGTAACAAAATATAATGCACCGATTCCTGTCCAGTTTTCAAACCAAAAGAGTGTAGATCCCATATTAGGCTTCCACAAAATTTGATGTTCAATGAGGTCCCTACACTCTAACATCTTCCTCCATACATGTGAACCATCTCTCCAAGGAACAATCAGAGGGTTCAATTTCTTGCAATATTTTTGACTCATAAAAGAACTCCATAAGCTAGGCTTTGTTCTAAAATTCTACCATAACTTGCAGAACAAAGCACTGGATACTGCATGGAAGGATCTAAAACCAACACCCCCTTCCTCACAAGGTAAGCATAAATTATTTCACGATGCCCAATGTCTGTTTGAGACCCCTATAGTGTTGCTCCAGAAGAATTGAGCAAATATTTTGTGTAATTTGTTAATCACGTAAGGAGGTGGATTCACTGATGCCAATAGATGAATTGGCATGGTCTGAAGCACATGAGAAATCAATACAATCCTTCCTCCTATAGATAACATCTTACCTTTCCAATCTTGTAGTTTATCCAGCACTTTAGTCATGAGGTCTTGGTAATAATCCATTCTTCTTCTTGCATAGAAAATTGGACAACCAAGGTAAGTAAAAGGGAACTCCTGTTTGTTAAAACCTATTATTCTCTGCACCTTATCCACTACTTCCTCTCCTGCTGAATGATGAAGATAGATTGCACTTTTACTCTTGTTAATAAGTTGCCCAGAAGCTGCCTCATAACCTGCTAAAACCTTCATAATCAGTGTCAGCGATGTTGCATCAGAAGATGAAAAAATGATAATGTCATCTGCGTATGAAAGGTGGTTAATCTTTGGGCTCCACTTGGGCAAGCCAAAGCCACAGAAGTGTAAATTTTTGTGAAGTGCATTCAGCCCTCTTGACAGAGCTTCTGCAGCCAAGATAAATAGAGTTGGTGAAATAGGATCCCCTTGTTTCACCCCTCTTGTCGACTTAAAGAAACCATAAGGCTGCCCATTTAACAACACAGAGTACCAGTTGTTTGCTACAATTCCATACACCAAACCAATAAATCTTTCCCCAAATCCCATTTTCCTAAACACCTTAGTTAGAAACAACCATGACAAACGATCGTATGCCTTGGCCATATCTAATTTGATCACAACGTTTGGCCCAGCTTTTGTCCTCAACCTTATATCTGTGATGATCTCCTGGGTTAATAAAACATTTTCAACAATGCTCCTACCCTTTACAAAGCCAACCTGCTCCTCAGAGACTATGTTGGGAAGTAACACTGCTAGCCTTTCATGAACGACTCTAGAAAATATCTTGTTAACAAAATTGCTAAGGCTAATAGGTCGCATATCTGAAAAGGTGACCACCTATTTCTTTTTTGGCAGAAGCACTAGATTTGTATGAGTTATATATCTGGGCAACTCATGTCCATTGAAAAAGGCATGTACCATTTTTACCATATCTTCCGCAATTATGTCCCAACAGGTATGAAAGAAGCACCCAGTAAAGCCATCCGGACCCCCTGCACTATCACCATTTAATCCAAAAACTGCATGTATGACCTCTTCCTTCGTTGGCTGCTTAATTAGCTCAACATTCTGGGCATAATCTACCAGTGTTGGTACATGTTCAAGAATATCAAAGGACATAGTAGTTGTTTCTTCCTGGAGCTGTTCTTTGAAGAACCTATCTGCGTCATCTGCCATGTCATTATTACCCTCTAACCAATTGCCATTAGTATCTTGTATTTGTTTTAGCTATAATCTTCTTCTCCTGCCATTGACCTGAGCATGAAAGAACTTCGTATTTCTATCACCATCCTGGAACCATGCCATTCCCGACTTTTGCCTCCAAAATTCTTCCTCCAATGCCAGATATCAAATAAGCTCTGCTTGCACCTTTTGTAACCTCTCTCTATTTTGATATGTAGGAAACCTTTCAAACTGTGCTTCATGTACAAGAACCACCTCTTCAAGACTAGCAATCTTTTGGAATATGTCTCCATACATTGCCCTACTCCATATTAATAGTGCTTTTTTCAGTTTTTTCAGTTTATGATTGAACATATAAAATGGATCACCTATGAAGTCTGCTGTCCAGTTTTGTATAACCACCTCCTTGAAAGTTATATGCTTGCACCAAAAGTTCAAAAATTTGAAAGCTTTTTTGATAGGTGCCACATCAGGATTAAAGTTCAGAATCATTGGACTATGATCCGAGCCTGTTTTGGACAAGTGAGTCACCTCTATATTAGGCCATTTCTGTTGTAACTCCAAATTGCCTAAACATCTGTCCAATCTTTTGAATATACAGTCATCTTCACCTCTCCCATTCCACCATGTATACACACTACCTTTGAAACCCAAATCAGTCAAGTTACAGGTGTTTATGCAATGCCTAAAATCATTTATCTCATTTAGCGACACAGGAAGTCCACCAAACTTCTCCTCAAAGGCTCTATTCACCCAGTTTGCTGTTGAGTCTTTTTGAAAACCCTCCTTTCCTTTTTCCTTCTGTTTTGCACTAGTATCCTTCCTTCTCTTTAAAGTACTTCCATCTCCAGTTTTAGGAGAGAAAGCAACTGCCTTAGGATTAAGTCTCTTAACTGTAACACCTGCAGGGCTGTTTACAACACTGT